TGTTGCTGNTTTTTTTGTTAAAATGTTGCTATATAAATCATTTCTAAAAAAAATTATTTTTAATTTCATTTAAATTTCACTATGGATTTTTAGAATTATAATCAAATTTTATAATACATTCAATTTAGTAAATTTTTTTAACAACTTTTTGAAAATATTTATTTTGACATTAAGCTAGTATAACTTTTTAAAAAATATTTTTAAAAAGGGAATTTATTTTGTTTTTTAAATTTGGGCGTTTTCTGAAATCATGAAAAAAATGTACCACAAACCCTCACCAAAAAAATTTAATTTGAAACTTTCTTTATACACATTATTTTTTAATTTTTATTTTACACTGTTATTACTTTTAAAAAAATGTACAACTAGGTAATAAAAGTGGAGGCCACAGTGATAAGGTCATCAATTTACATAAGTGTTATATTAATTTAACTTACATTTACAATTTCCTTGGGAAATTACAAGATGTTCGAGTTGATTCTCAGTACACATATGAATTCATTCCTAAACTTTAGGCTATTGAAACGATAAAAATTTATAATTTTTCATACTTCAGCCTATTAGCATTACCCAGGAGACACCACGAGGAGGTTGGCTGTTAAGTCTCCCAAAAATTTTTTTAGCTTCGATGAGAAGCAGAGAAGATATTTTACTCTTTATTGTCTTGAGATAAAAATATTTAAGTTGAATTAATATAAAATAAAATACATCGAAGCTAAAATGTAGTCAATTATTGTCAACATAATTACTAATATGAAGGTAAAAATTTAAAACGTTTTATGAAAACAAAATTTATATCCATCCATCAAAATTAAAGATTTAGATTTTTCACTTAAAATATACTATATTAATAAAAAACGATTTTTTTTAGGGAGACGACGATTTGCTGTTCATTAAAAATAACATTTTTATAATAAATAGTTTTACTTAATTATTAGTCTTGTCACACAAAATGCAATAGAAATCAAAATGTTTGTAATCATTTAATATATACTCATCAGCTATACAATCAGTTACCACACGACGACAACATGTAGTGCATGACACCCAGGCACGTATCCAGGGGGGGGGCCAAGGGGCCCGGGCCCCCCCCGAAAACCTGAAATTCAAAAAATTTTTTCATGTGAGGTTTTCCATAGAAAAGTCTTCAATGTAGAATTTTTTCAGTATAGCAATTTCTATTCTTTGAAATTCAAGTTTTTGGTCGTCAGTAAGGTCATTCAGCGTTTCAAATTACATACGCAATATAAATATATTATACCACCTTGATCAGTGAAAGTTCCCGGAATAATCATCGTTTGGCGTTCCCATTGTTTCAATTTGAGTTCTGTTTTTTTCATTAAGTTGGTACATCTGTTGTTAATATTCCCTCTAAATTTTAGCGCCATAGCTTGACATTTGCAAAAGTTACGTAGCCAAGAGTACATCTATCTCTTTGTGTGTTGGCGATTTTTTACAATTTTAGAAATGGATTTAAATTTGCAACAACGAACTTGTATTAAATTTTGTGTAAAAAACGGATTTAATGGTGCGCGAACGTTGGAAATGTTGGAAAAGTGTTTTGGCAAAGATTCTCTAAAGAAAACAGTCGTTTATCAGTGGCACGAGCGGTTTAAAAGTGGTCGTGAATCAATCATAGATGATGAACGCAGCGGCAGACCATCGACATCGAAAATCGACGAAAACACTGAAAAAGTAAAAGAAATGTTGGTCAATAACCGCAAATTAACCATCAGAGAAATAGCGGAGGACTTGAGCATTGCCTATGGATCCGTCCAAGACATTTTGGTTAATGATTTGAGTTTCCGTCGTGTAGCAGCAAAGTTGGTGCCAAAAGACCTCAATTTCATGCAAAAAAGAGACCGTGTTGACGTCGCAAAAGACATGATTTGCGAGGCTGAATCCGATCCCACATTCATCAAAAGGATCATTACTGGAGACGAGACGTGGGTTTATGAGTATGACACACAATCAAGACATCAGGCAAGTGAATGGCGTTCACCAAATGAGCCGAGACCAAAAAAACCACGTCGTTTTCAGTCAAAAAAGAAGGCTATGCTTACGGTTTTCATGGATTACAACGGTGTAGTACATCATGAATTTTTGCCAAAAGACCAGACAGTAAACAAAGAATATTATTTGGGCGTTATGAGACGTTTGCGTGAAGCAAATTGCCGAAAGAGACCAGAATTGTGGGCAGAAAACTCGTGGATTTTGCATCATGATAACGCACCGTCACATAGTGCCATCATTATTCGTAATTTTTTGACGAAAAATGCAACAAATACTATCCAACAGCCACCGAATTCACCTGATTTGGCTCCCTGTGACTTCTTTCTATTCAATCGAGTTAAAAAACCATTACGGGGAACGCGATTCAGCAGCCGAGAGGAAGTAATGGAAAAATCGCAGGAAGCACTGATGGACATACCAAAAACCGAGTATAAAAAATGTTTCGAGGATTGGATCAAGCGCTGGCATATGTGTGTTGCAGTCGATGGGGATTACTTTGAAGGGGACAATATAGATTTAGATGAATAAACTTGTATTTTTAATTTTCTGAATAAATTCCGGGAACTTTTTGATCAAGGTGGTATTTTAACATATATGATTATGTACTTATAAGTTGAGTTATGAATAATGACACTAATTACTAAAGCAGTTATTTAATGTTATTTTATTTGTTTATAATACATGTCCATTACAAACCACACCACGGCCAAGGCGGAATACCCCTTGACGATAACTTTAGATAAAAAAAAAAAACCAAACCTAATGGAATTACCAAATGTGTTGATGTTTATGATAACAAAACTGTGGATGATAGCAATGTGCTATTTTTATTATACCCATCAAAAATTTTGACGCGTTCGTTTGATCGACATTAAAATTTGTGATTGTGTAGTTATTTTAATAAGTAATTTATCAATAAAAAATTATTATCAATAAACAGTAATATTATTTATAAATCATAATACTTTTATTCGTCATGAATAAAGATAAATTATGTATTTGTGGTAAAAGTAAGGGAGATTTAAACCAAAGCAAATGGCTAAGACACCTAAATTCATGTAGCAGAAAAAGAAAATCTACCAGTACAACAACCAGCAACATAAAAAAGTTCTTTTCATCGACGAATTCATTCTCCACAACAAATCTGAGTAATGTATAATATTTAACTGACTGATATTTAACTAATGAATAAAATAGTATAGTAATAACAATAGATGAATTATTTTAAACTATGTAAATTTTTTTTATCTTTATTGGTTAATTCACACATTTGTTATTTCTATTGATTAAAAAAATTTTTTGTCACATTTTTTTGTTGCATTAAAACCTTTCTATATTCAGAAAAATAAGATCTGATGACAATGAAATAGATAAGATCCCACATTGCAATTTCAATGTATTAATATTGTCAAAATATTCTTACAAAATACTTTTTAAAATATTTTGAATAAAATATTGTGACAATATCTCATAAACATAATAAAAAATATATTCTATTGAAATATTTTCATAATATGCTCACAATATAATTTTTTAAATATTATAAATATATATCTTGTTGGCCAACTGAGGTAACTTAAGAGACACAAGCCATCCTCTTTTCTCCCTTTAGTTACATCTTTGGATGATATTGGTATCTTGTTATATAATACTTATGTATTATATATACATATTCCTAAATCTTTAATAAGTAAACAGCCATTTTCTCTAATTAGTATCAATTTTAATTAACCTAATTCAATTAAGCTAAGTAAGTCAAGGACAGTAAAAAAAACCTTGTTGCTATTATTTGCAGGCCTATCAGTTAAAATTTTTTTAGTTTTATCAACGCAATTATATCTTATTATTGTCCTGTGAAACTAAAAATCCTAAAAAGTTTTTTATTATAGTTAGAATATATTTCTATATTATCAACAATAATAGACAATTTCTAACTTACAAGGAGAAATCATGGTGATGGGATCGCCGATTTTCAAAAAAATTATATGAATCTAATCTAAATTGAATATAAAATTGTATTTACTTTAAATTTTTTTAAACAAAAAAAATTACTTAACAGACAAATAACCATTTGAACTTCCTTAAATAGTCCTTTTTATCCTATTTCTATCTTAATTTTTGTAGACTTCAAAAACATTTAAATGATTTATTATTTACTTTAGTTAAATTGACTAATAATTATAATTAATCATTTTAATTTTACTTTCTATTATTTTTACAGATCAAGGCCTAGAACAAAATCCAAATAAACCAAGTGATGGTGGTTTAACAGGTATCTCATAAAAATGTTTTGTTGTATTTATTTTTATCATCTATCAAATTTCCAAATAATAATCCGAATTTGAATTCTTCTGGTAAATTACTTAAGATGTTCATTTCTTATGTTTTACAGAGAACTTTTTAAACAATAGTGAGTGTAGTGAACAAAGCAACCATAGTTTCAAAGTTAACTCGGGACCGAAAACGAATTTTCATGTCGGCATAGACAAAGAAAGTGAGCAGCATATTTCGAACCATCGTTAATGAATATCTTATATTATTTTAAACGTTTATATAGAATAAAAATTTTATTTTACAGAAGAGGATAATATATCCCATTTGGACTCCAAAGACAACATATCTGACCCAGTCACTTCAACTGGTTTACATGAAATCGTTCACCCTGTATGGCTAGCCAATCGATTTGATATTGGGATCACAAACCGAAATTTGCTAGATGACACCACGAAAAAAAATGTACTTTCATCGGTATTGTTACCAAAACAAACATACAAATTCCCTACAGAAACATCGCATAATAGAAGTTTTCAACCTAAGTGGATTTTGCTTGGCTGGCTTACTCAGCGAGTGAAGACAGCGTATATTGCAAATCTTGCTGGTTATTTTTCCATGAAGGCGTTGGAAAAGGTGGTCATCAAAAACCAGGAAAACTTGTGTCTGTCGGTTTTCGAGACTGGAAAAAAGCTAGAGAATTTTTTCAAAAACATATGGAAAAAGAATATCACAAAAAATGTGTTATGCAAGCCACTTCATTTCTCAATATATTAACTGGAAAGCAGCTGGATATCGCGTCTCAGTTGGATAGTCAACGCACCAAAGAGATATCTGAAAATAGGGCTGCATTGGAACCAATTATTCGCACAATTCTTTTTTGTGCAGAACAAGAATTACCTCTAAGAGGCGATCATAATAGCGGTGCTCTATCTTTGACACGACCTAAACAAAAAGATGGAAAGTTCAGAGCTCTTTTACGGTTCAGAATTGAGTCTGGTGATCAAAATTTAGAAAAACATGTACTCAAGAGCTCCAAAAACGCTACTTATTTGAGCCCTATCATCCAAAATGAAGTTATTCAGACGTGTTCTGACATTATCACTGAAAAAGTTATTCATAGAATTTCTAAGGTACAATGTTTTAGTCTCCTTGGCGATGAAACAATGGATGTTTCAGGGACCGAGCAGCTTTCGCTATGTCTACGGTACGTCGATATACCAGATCTACAAGCTCCTATTCTTCGTGAAGATTTTATCGGATTTATCCCAATCAAAGATCAGTCTTCTGAAAATCTGACGAACGTTATTTTACAGCGATGTGAAGAGCTTAATCTCGATATGACCAAGTGTATTGGGCAAGGATACGATGGGGCAACAAATATGGCGGGTCATTTGAGTGGCGTTCAAACGAGAATTAGAGATAATTATCCGAAGGCAAGATACATTCATTGTGCCAGTCACCGTTTGAACCTTGCTCTGTCGAATGCAATGTCTGTTCCAGCAATACGCAATTGTCTTGGAGTTGTTAGTCAGGTTGTAAATTTGTTCAGAAATCATTCGAATGCAAACAAACTTTTTCAAGACACTATCCAAGAACATGCTCCAGACAGTAAAAAAAAACGACTTCTTCGGCTTTGTGACACAAGATTTATCGAAAGACATGACAGTATTATTGTATTTTTAGAACTCCTCGAATGCATTGTCATGTCTTTAGATGAAATTGCTCAAAGAACATGGAACATATCTTCAACGGCATCAATTCTTCACACAGCTTGCCAAAAAAGTGAATTTTTAGTGAGCCTTGTTGTTTGTGAAAAACTATTCAGTTTGACTCTTCCGCTGTCGGTTTTTCTCCAAAAAAAATCTTCAGATTTCGTTTCCGCTGTAAATTATACAAATGATATATTGAGTGCACTCCGAAAAATGCGGGAAACTGCTAGCGACACTTTCAGAGGAATTTTTCAAGCAGCGTCGAAATTTTCAGCGGACCTTTTTGACGCTGAACTTCAAGCTCCAAGAGTTGCATCACGACAGAAATCTCGTGTAAATATACAAACGACATCGAATGAAGATTATTTCAGAGTCACCACATTTATTCCTTGTATCGATGCTTTAATACAAAATTTGACGGATAGATTTATCAAGAATGAAGATATTCTCTCAAGTTTTCAACTGCTACTTCCAGGATATGCTTCCGAGAAAAAAATGGATGAACTGGAAAAATTAGGTCCATACTTTCAAGACGAAATGTCATTGTCCGCAGTTCAAGCTGAGTACAAGTTATGGTGTGCCAAAATGTCATCAATTGACTCATCGACTGAAATTTTGAAACTGTTGGAATATTGTGACAGAACATTTTTTCGCGCGATTAATCTTCTTCTCAAGGTATTGGCTACTATTCCAGTCACAACGGCTAGCGTTGAAAGATCGTTTTCTACAATGAAGAGGATAAAAACTTTACCTCGTAGTGTGATGGGCCATGACAGACTAAGTGCACTCGCGATGATGACAATTCACTGGGATACTATTGTTGATCCGGAAGAAGTGCTCAACTGTTTAGCAAACAAAAAAACAAGAAAATTACTTTTATAAGGTGTATATTTTTTGTAAAAATTCTTTCAAATATAGTTAAAGTTATTTATATACTTTGTACTGCGTTTTTTTTATTGCACTCCAATTAATAATAATTTAAACGTCACATATATATTTTTTTTTTTTTGCTCGACGAAAAATTCCTAATTATGATTCTGGAACTTTAGCCCCCCCGAAACCAATTTCTGGATACGGGCCTGANCTCATCAGCTATACAATCAGTTACCACACGACGACAACATGTAGTGCATGACACCCATTCAATTCTGCTGTGATGTTCTATATACTTTTGGCAATATAAACATATGTTTGCCATGTCACCTGAATTTTCTAGCAGTAAACTTTTTAATTCGTTTCTATAATTATTAGGGTTGAACTTCTTGTCGAAATGTGACTTATTTATTATTGTGATAGCGTAGTATATTACATAAACTCCACAGTTATAAGCATCAACTTGTTTTGGTATGTTTTTGGCTTTACATTGAACCAATGATACTTGAGGAATTGATTTTTTAACATAAGTACAATGTGTTTTTAACCCTCTATATAATTTTTGAAACTTTTGCTGATTGTATTTTGGATCTTTAGTAGGATTCATTGGGTCTATTATGCAACACTCTTTAAGTTCGAAATTAATTACTGCAATAATCCAATGATTCATTTTTGATAATTCTACATGCCATGGCATAATGACAGTACTATTTTTTTCGAAGTTATACCTATTTTTCTGTTCTTGATTTTTTTGCGTACTACTTAAAATTTCTGTTACTTCGTTACAGTATAAAACTTTTAAAACTGTTTGTTTATTCATAGACTGTATGGCCAAACAAATATCAATTACAAAGTTGCTTAGCCAACTTTCTCCATAAAGACAATTAAAATCATTAATGTCTAATGTTTTTAAAGTATATATTGTCGAATTAGGTATGATATGATAATAGGTACCAACTATAAAATTAAATAATTTTACTTTGTTATTTATTAATTTCTTGACTGTATTTGTGTGGTCAACTACCAGTCTATAGTATTCTAAATCTTTTAGTAGCATGTTACTGTATAAACTTTTTCTTAAAACATTATTTTGGGTTTCATTTGATTTTAACAATAGATTTTTACAATTACAATCAATTTTTATATTACACTCAATTGATGAGATTTGTTTTACATCTTTTTGATTAGATTGTTTTGAAATTAAATTTGTATAACTTTTTCTATTTATTTGTCCATTGCCATTAGCCATACTCAATGACCGACTGAAAAAATCTTCCATTGTTTCTATTTCTCCAGGCACCATAAGGGCGTCGTCGTCTTCTTCATACATAACTGATTGCAATACATTGTCCGTATAATCCAACATTATACTAGGTTCATTTTCTTTTAAAGGATTTGTTAAATTATTGACAGATGAATTATATTTTTTTAGAATAATTAAGTACGCCCCTTTTCCATTACATGGCCATCTCTTTTCAGATACATTTTTATCATTGCAACATACCCATTTGAAATTTTCTTTTAAATATACGGTATAATGTCCAGATTTAGTATCATCGCCTAAATGAAATATTGTAGCCAAAGGCGAGTAAAAAAAATTATTGATTGTAAATTGAGCTTTAGAAATATTTTTCAACTTCATATCTGTTATTTTAGTAATTACATTTTTCAATGTATCATTCAATGTGTTTATTTAAATCCTCTGAGAATGGTAGTTTATCATTCAGTGGTGGTATAGAATGGTCATCAATCCTTACCAAGTTGATAGATCGAGAATGAAATTTTGTTTCTTTGTCCACTAAAATCAAAGGTCTATGGTCACTCACTAGATTTTCAT